ACAACAGCTTTTCTTAAATTACCTTAAAGAAACCATTGCAGATTGGAATAAAAATATAAAATTAAAAAATTTGTCTGAACGCCTCATTAGGATGAAAGCAAAGAAGAATTTATTAAAATTGGAATAGTTTTACTGTATAACACTGGCTTTAGAAAAAAAAAGCCAAAGTCAACAAATGCAAACACTTTCTGGAATGTCAGGTCTCACAGCTAAGGAATAAAATAACAAGAACTACATCTGTCAACTGAGCATTTCCTATGTACCAGCTTCCATGCTAATACTTTTCCTCATTTAATGTTCTGAAGACTGAGGAGGCAACTGAAGTCAGAAGTTAGCGAGCCTGCCAAAGGTCACTCAGCCAGTTAGGGACAGATAGCGATGCAGACAATGCTGGTAACCCTCATGCTAGTGGGTCCCTACAGAACAGACCACAAAAATCAAGGAAATTCTCAAAAACCAATAATATATTGACAGTTTTGTTTTTCCTAGAATGGCTATCTATAATATAAAAATGTAATATGCTAATTAAACTGGAAGACCTTCCAGAATGAAGCCACGGCTGCAAGGAAAGTCTGGGTTCCAAGTGCCAGAGGGAAGCCGGTGCCATCAGCCAGAGGAAGGAAAGCCTACTCTTGCACAAATTTTGTGCATCGGGCCTCGAATCACTTCATGAAATAAAAGGCTTTTTTAATAGGAAGACAGGAGGGAATACCTGAGAATGAGTCCATGAAGTGGCAATGGCCTTATACCAAGCATGTTCACGTGACTGCGGGTAACGCTGCACCACTAACCTGTGAAAACTTCACACACCGATGAGCCAGCATTTAGGAACCAGACTATATCTTGTGATAAAAATATATGCCCAAGGTTGAAGTGAAGATTATCTGAGTTAATATAAGTAAAATATTCAGGATTATTCCTGGCAAGCACTATTAAAAACTCATTTCTAATTTGTAGGAAGTTATCTGAAACATCACTAAAAATCTGAGAAGAGAAAACAACTGAAATTAGATTAAGTCCATTTTGAAGTCTGCCCAAGAAAACCTACACTAGCCACTACAAGCCCACAGGACTGAGTGAACCAAACTGAAGAAACGTGAGCCCGAAGATGCTACATATTTTTAAATGTTTTCTTCGGGTCCCGAAGACCGACAGTTCCCGGTTCCTAGGAGCTCATTCAGCAGCCCGACCTGACTGCTGGTGTGTGACCCACGACACTGGCACTTTTCCTCCGCACCACCATTCAGAGCGCATTCCCACCACACACAGAGGCTTCAAACCTGTTGAGGAACCAAACTGCTCATCAGGCTTCCTTAGAACCTTCGCTCTGCTCTGGCCGTGGCTTCCTGCGGCACAGCTGTGCCAGGGAGTAGAACCAAAATGCAGTTGCCATCACCTACACCCCTGGCTCCACCTCCCTGAAGGCAGGCAGTCTGGCTAAGGAAGATACGTGTCCTTCTTCATGACACACTTGCCTAAATGCCTCTTCGGAGAGGCCCCGGTGGAATCTGTCTTGAAAGGAATGCAATGTTGAATGCTAAAACAAAAACCAAACATTCATTGTGCCAGGTTGTTCTAGGCCAGTAGCTCCAAAACAGGTGTGACTCTGCCCCTCACGGACACTTGGCAATGTCCGGAGACGTTTCCGGTTGTCACAAGTGGGGAAGGGATTCATCTGGCCTCTAGTGGCAGAGGCGGGACACGCTGCTAACCACCAGGCGATGCTCAGGCACCCTGCCCCCACAGCCAGAATCACCCAGTTCAAAATGTCAATGGTGCAAGGTTGAGAAACTCAGTCCTTGACTCTGGGGCACAACAGTAAACAAGGAAGAGACAGAAAGCCCTGCTCCCTTGGAGCCTGCAGTCCAGTGTGGAAAACCATAAACACATCATATCAGAAAATTGCAGAATGTGTTATAAATACCATGGAAAAAACAAAGCAGGGCAAGGAAGATGGGAGTTTGCAAGATTAGCAATTACAAATAGTGTGGTCAAGGTAAGCTTGATGAATGGCATTTAAAGGGAGACTTGGAGCCCTGGCTAGTGTGCTCAGTGGTTAGACCATCGGACCATACTCCAAAGAGTCATGGGTTCGATTTCCATTCAAGGGCATGTACCTGGGTTGCAGGTTCACTGCCCATCCTGGGTCAGTTAGAGTGCCTGTAGAAAGTGACCAGCCCAGTCAGTGTGGCTCTCTCACATCGATGTTGCTCCTCTCTCCCCCACTTCCTCTCTCCCTCCCACTCTCCCTGAAAAAACAATGGAGCCAGGCCAGCCTGGCTCAGTGGTCAAGCGTTCACCTATGAACCAGGAGGTCATGGTTTGATTCCTGATCAAGGCACATGTCTGGGTTGCAGGCTCCATCCTCATGTGGAGTGTGTAGGAGGCAGCCGATGGATGATTCTTTCTCATCATATTTCTAGTATCTCTCTTCCTCTCTAAATCAATGAAAATACATTTTAAAAAAATAGAAAATAAAAAAGCAATGGAAAAAATATCCTCAGGTAGGAGTAACAACAACAAATTAATTAACTAATTAATTATAAAGGGAGAGGGAGCCCCATGGCTTTCTGGCAAAGGGCAGTCCAGGCCAGGGGACCAGCAGGAACCACTAAAAGGCCCTGAGGAGGAGGGGTCTTTTCCAGGAGCAGGAGACCAGCCTGGCTGGAGCAGAGGGAGTCTGGAGTGGCAGAAGGAAACAAGGCAGAGCTGAAGGCAGCCTGACCGTGCAGGCCCCCCGGGCTCTGGAGTTTTAGTAAAACTAGGAGCCACTGGCAGTTTTGTGAGTAGGGTACGACATGATGTGACAGTTTTAACATAGGGTTTCTCAGCCTTGGTGGTGACTATCTGGGGCCAAATAACTGCTCCCTTGTGCCCTGTAGAACGGAGGCAGGCTGCTTAGCAGAGGCCAGCATGATTCCCTCTGCTGTGGTGACCAGAAATGTTTCCAGCCATTGCTAATCGACTGGGAGGCAAAATCACCCCTGGGCTGAGAATCAGTTTTAACAGGAACAGCATAGCTGCTGGGTTGAACCCCCATGAAGTGGGTAAGTGTGGAAGGCAGACCAGGTAAGAGACGACTGCAATAAGCCCGGGGAGGGCAATAGGGGGCTTGAACCCAAGTGGTTGCAGAGGAGTTGAAGGGAAGTGGACAGATTCTGGATGTATTTTCAACCCTAACACACACTCCTGAGATGTGAGAGACAAACAGCTACAGCAGTCCTGACCTTTCACTTCAACCTCTCCCAATCCATACTTAAAGGGAGGGAGGTGCCCGTGGAACACGTCAGAGCCACAAGGAGGCCCTGCACAATGTGTGGTCCCTTTACAGACACACAGCAGATGCTGATGACAATCCCGCAGACACAGACGAAAAACAGTATAGGGAAATTCTGCCAGCCTCATATGTTTATTAACAGATTTTATTTAACTGCTTTCTTTCAAAGAGCATGTGTCTGTTCCACAGACAGTTTGACAACTTTTTAAATTTAGCCTTGCTCTCCAGCCAGGTGCTGCCCCCCACCTGCTTCCAGCTTTGATGTGCAGCCATTTCTTCCCATCCCACAGGCGCCTGGCACGTGCCGCCAGCTCCCCAGCACCCTCGTTCACCTGGCAAGCAACTGACTCTGAGGAGAACAGGCACGAGCTCCATGGCACTCATGTGGGTTTTCCAGATGGTATTTTCTTCACTCTCTCAAACTCCTTTAATTATGTATCAGCTACCATCAGAAATGTTCCAAACAGTCCGGTTAATTCATTTCTTTCAGGGACCCCCCCCCCACACACACACACACACATGCACACACACGCACACACAGGCACGCCGTCCCCTCATTCTGGCCAGGGAGCGTTTGCTCACAGCAGCAGCAGCAGAGGCTGCTCCGTACCACACTGGTCCCTTCAGGGAGCGCACACACAGCCCCGATGAGCATAACCAACAATACCCTTTGCACAATATCACCCAAACTCCCAACCCCCAACACACACAATCCGTCTCGCACACAAGACAGCCATTATGAGGAGGGATCGCCAACCACCGGCCGGTTTCAGGCATCTAACCGTCTACGCGGGCATCTGCGAGGCGGCGGCGGCGGCGGCCAGCGGGGTGCTGGCCTCGGACTTTCTTCCCCAACTTGAAGGATTCCGTCCGGGGCTGCCGAGCCCTCAGCCCCGTGTCCGGCCGGCCCCCTGCACCCAGGGGCGGGCACAGGGCCCCTGACTCGCTCCCTTCCTCCATCTCCCTGGATGTTGGGCCCCTGGCCCTGCCAGCCCCACCCCTGCGGCGAGGGGCACCGGGCGCCCCGCTACACCGCCTGCCTCACCCTCGGCTGGGAGGGCGGGACCCTCGGCTCCCACCGCCCGGACCCCCTCCTCTCCGGACACCGCAGGTGCGGGGCGGCCCGGAGCGGAAGGGAGGACCCGCCCTCCGGCAGAGCGGGCGGGAGTGCCGGCGCGGCACCAGGTGTGCACGGCAGAGCCGCTCCGCTCCCAAAGTTCCGCCCGGCCAGGGAGACCCGGCCGCCGCGCGGGACCCCGACCCCCGGCCCTCCCGCCCCTCCGGGAGCCGGGCCTCGGGGTGTGCGGCCTGCGGGCTGGGCCGCACGGGGACCCGCCCCGCACCGCCCGCAGGTGAGAGGCGGGGCGGGAGCGCACCTGGGCGGCGGCGCCCGGAGCGGCGGCTCCAGAGGCCACGCGCCCGCTCCGCTCCCCCGGGTCCCGCCCGCGGCCCGCGGCCTCCGAGCCCCGCCGCCCGCGCTGCAGGAGGGCTCACCTGCCGCGTCCCCTCCCCGCCCGCAGCGGCCGGCCGCTCCGCCCTCGCCCTCCGCCGCCGGCCGCCGGGAGGGACCGGCCCGGAGCCCCCGCTGCCCGTGCCCGCCGAGCGCCTCGGCCGCAGCCCCCGGCCCCGGTCCCGGCGCGGCGCAGCCCCCGCGGGCGCGGCAAGGGCGCGGGGTCCTTGTCCCGGCCGGGCGCCCGCCCCGCGCCGAGCCGCGGCCCCTCACCTGCTCTTCAGCGGCTGACTTTTGAGTTCGTAATAGGTTTTGGGTTCTTCATGAAACTCCTCCCCAACTTCGAAATCCGGCACGATGCCCGACTCGGACTGCATGGCTGCGGCTCCGTCCCCGCGGCGCCCGGGCGAGCGCCGAGCAGGGCGAGGGGAGGAGGCGGGCCTGGGTCCGCGCCCGCAGCGCCCGCTCTGCCCGCCGCCGCCCGCGCGGCCGCCCGGCGCCGGGGGTTCGCACTCGCCGGGGAGGGGCCGCCGCCCATGCCGCCGGGGCTTGTAGTTCGGCCGGGCGGGGCCTCCCCGGCTCGCGGGGGCCGCGGGGCCCGCGGGAACTACAACTCCCAGCGGCCCGCGGGGCAGAGGCCGCCAGCCGGACCCCGCCGGGCAGCTCCGGTTCGGGATCCCTGTCAATGTCAGCGGCTCCCTCTCGCCTCAAGGGTACAGACCTGCCCATTAAATATTAATTAGGACGGACCCAGCCGGCTCTCCGACCGTCACCCCTCCTCGCAGCTCAGACGTCTGAGAGAGAACACCAAGTCCTTATTTGAAACAAACCAAAAAAACAACAGCGAAGGGTTTGGCACTAGAAAGTTTCAGCCCTCAGCCTGCCTTAACCAAAAAGGATGCCTAGCAGCCTGTTTGCTTCCAGCGCCGCTGCGGCAAACGCACTGGCTGGCGGAGCGGGGCGACTGGCCTCCGCTTGGGGAGGAAAACCTTGCTGTCCACAATCAGCCGAGCTTTGCAGGACTGTCATCCAGCTCCCCTCGTCCAATCGTGGTCCCCTTCATTTAAAAAGGCGCAGAGAACAAAACAGCGTCCTCACTGACTGTCTTTCATCTCCCAGCCGCCTGGGCGTCCAGAGGAGACTGTCCTAACATTTCAGGAGTGACGTTGCGGGGCAGTAAACTGTAAAAGTGTCACCCCGCCGAGCTTCCCGCACCCGCTTAGGCAACTGACACACAGGCTGGGCTGCCGCTGTCTTTGCTTCCAGCCTTCACTGATTACTTCCAGCGGGACGTCTTCCTTCTCTTAGCAATGCGCTCAGCAATAAAAGTGTTTCTAAAAGTGCCTTGAGGCGCCTGGGAGCCAGCACAGAGTCCGTGGCATGGAAAGTTAAGACCTGGAGTCCTTCCCCAAAGCCCTGTGTAATCTTGGGCATGTCACTGGGTTCCTAGAAGCCTAATTTCCTCATCTGTAAAAGAGGAGATTGGCAAACGCGTTTCGGAAGATGTTGCAAGGTCAAAAGCAAGGGAGAGTGATTTGTGACCAACAAAAATGCTGCTCAATGGCCATTCTTTTATTTATTGAATAGTGAATCTACTCTTTTCACACCAGCATTTGATCTGTGAGTTTCTCCTTTCAGAGTTAATAAACTAAATGATCGTTTCAGGAGAAAACCCCAAGAAGGCTAAACTAATTATCGGGCATCTTCCAAGAGTTGCCCATTCTGCCTTACAGTGAAACATTTTAATTTTACATCAGAAGAGACTGACCTTAAGAGTTGAGGATATGCCGAAACTGGTATGGCTCAGTGGATAGAGCATCAGTCTGCGGACTGAAAGGTCCTGGGTTCGATTCCAGTCAAGGGCATGTACATAAGTTGCAGGCACATCCCCAGTGGGGGGTGTGCAGGAGGCTGCTTCTCGTCGATGTTTCTGGCTTTCTATCCCTCTCCCTTCCTCTCTGTAGAAAATCAATAAAATATATATCTTAAGAGAGAGAGAGAGAGAGAGAGAGAGAGAGAGAGAGAGAGAGTTGAGGATATCACTTTCTGCCAGAAGGAAGCAGAAAGGTAACACACAAGAGAACATTCAACTTAAATTCTCAGCTGTAGGTGCTTGAAATGGGATGGGGCAGTCTTGATTTTCACAATGACTTAGGGGGATTACAGTCATATGGACTAGAAATGCTATGCAGGGGCCCAGTGCACGAATTTGTGCACCTTGAAAGGAACTGTGGGCGGTGAGGCTGTGGTAGGCATGGGACAGGTCTCAGCTCCATCCTCCAACTCCCTGCCCAGCCCCTCCCACCAAGGCACCAGGTCCCTGTCTGCTCCTACCACAGCTGCTTCCTCCTGCTGATGGTGCAGAGTGATTGGGACTGGCACCAGCAGTGGGTGCCAGTGGCATCTGCTGCCCCTGATTGCCCCTCAGGAGCCGAGGGAGGTAAATAAGCCCTCAGGGGCAATCGGGGCCGCATCCAATGCTGGTACCCACTGATGGTGTCGAGCAATCAGGACCAGCATCAGCTGTGGGTGCAAGTGGGACCAGCACTGGCAGCAGGCACGAGCGCCAGGCAGAACCACAATGCGCAGGAGCAAAGAATTTCACTAACCACCAGAGGCTCTCCCTATGACAGCGACCGGTGCCTCGCCTTGGTCTGGCCCTCCAATTCACCTGTTCCACCATCCTGCCTCTGCCAATGCCCACTATGTTCCACACATGTCCTCTGGTGGTTAGCACATATCATAGTGACCTGTTGTTTGGTTGTTCTGATTGTTCCACTGTTCAGTCTATTTGCATATTAGCCTTTTATTATATAGGATATGACAATCATTCTTGTCCAATATAGGTGATTCCCCTGTTGGGAAACGCTGGGGTGTTCTTAATCTTCCTAATCCCCAGAAGCTTTTCAATCAGAAGAAAGCTATGGACCCTCTCCATATAGATGTAAATAAGATTTTGTACATAATTTTGGCCTGTTGATTCCTTGAAGACTATCAAAGACTTCATCTTGGAAATGCAGTTCATAACCTCTCTAGAGCTGTAATGAAACAATTCATTATGTCATCCATAAATCAAAGAGTGACCTGCTCTAAGGGACCAAACCTACCAGGATGAACCTGTCAAAAAAGCTAAAACTCCTGAACTTACCTCCAACAAAGTGTACCTTCCAGAATATCCCTAGAATGCATAGCTCTGAGCTGAGGTTGTCCTGAGGTACACACAAATAGCTTTCCCCCCTACACCTTTCATTCTGGTCTCACCCTACTCTTGGTTCAGGAAAAGTTCTCTTCCATTACATATGGCAGGGTTATTGATTACAGTGCCATCTGCTACCCAATGGGGATGGGTTTGTGACCTAATCCTAACCAATCAGTGGGCCCCATTACCTCAGCCCAGTGGTTGGCAAACTCATTAGTCAACAGAATATCAACAGTACAGCAACTGAAATTTCTTTTGGGAGCCAAACTTTTTGAACTTAAACTTCTTCTAATGTCACTTTGTTATAATAAACTTGCCCAGGCCATGGTTTTTTGTGGAGTAGCCACACTCAAGGGGCCAAAGAGCCACATGTGGCTTGAGATCCGTGGTTTGCCGACCACTGCCTTAGCCACAATGATTTGGGACTGGACATAGGACCCTAACATGAGCAGAAGTCCTTTGAGCTTTTTTGCTAGGACAACTGGGAAGACTGTCTGATCTCTGGAAGCATGGTGCTGGCTTAGAAGAAAGCTTAGAGCTAATTACTGTGGCTACGTAGGAAAGCTGATAAAAAGTAAGAGCGAATGAGATAGCATCAACAGCTATACAATATAAGATATCCTTAGATATTTACAGATATATAAACCAAAAGAACTTTTTTTCTTTTTGCTGGAAAAGTTTCTATGCACTGCCATACCATTTATCCCCATAGTGAAAGTTTGCCACCTGATAGCTGGCCCCTGTGATCCCTTTTCATTAATGAGTTAAACTCTAGGAGTGATAGCATTGTGATATTAGCTAGTTATTAATAAGGAAAGGATCAAAGGGGAAGCCACACATTATAGGTTTGTCATTTGGGCAGCTTCACCAGGAAGATGCAACTTTGTGCTCCTCACGGAATCACCAGCTTCTCCCTTGAAAAACACTGGGGAAAGGATCCAACAAAGAGAAGTAACACGTGCCCAGTAAGATCGGGGTTACATGGGGAAAGTACTTGACTGTCAGTCACACCCAAGAACAGGTCATTGGGCAGATTGAAAGTTTGGAAATATATAATCTTCCAGACAAAGGAGTTCTCTCTCTCTCTCTCTCTCTCTCTCTCTCTCTCTCTCTCTCTCTCTCTCTCTCTCCCTCCCTCCCTCCCTCCCTCTTTCCCTCTCTCTCTCCCTCCCTCTCCCTTTCCCTCTCCTTCTCTTTCTCTCTCTCATGCTCTTTGCTCAGTCTTGGCTTCCTGCATTCACCGGTGTTTCCTCCACAGCCATGTGGACCCACAGACCGCACATGCAATGGACTGATGGGCTGCAGTGGGGAAACACAAATTAAGCCAGTCTGATGTTGTATTGGACTGTGCAGACAGGGAAAGGAAATTCTAAAACCCTGCTACAGGCAAAATGGGACTTCTTCCATGGTGGGACTGAGGAAAATGAAACCTTGGAAATTCAGGAGTTTGATTCCATAGTAATAAAGCTTTCTACAAAACCACATCCTCGTGTTCGAATCTCAGGAGGAAAAAAAAACCTTTCTCTCATGATCTCACAAGAAATCCACCCCAACGGGTGGGACAAGACCTCCTCCCCTTTGCTAACAGGAGCAGATACCTCTTCTTAAACAAGGTGATTTAAAGTCAAAACTCCATGCATTTCAACCAAGGACTATCTCTAGTAAAAGCACAAAAGCAATGTCTAGAGATTATAATCATTGTCACTACCCTGTTTTCCCAAAAATAAGACAGTGTATTATATTAAATTTTTTTTCCCAAAATTGCGCTAGGTCTTATTTTCAGAGGATGTCTTATTTTCGGGGAAATACAGTAGTAATATGACCTATATTTATAGAATATTTTTACTTTTTTACAAATGCTTGTCACATGCACGTCTTATTTGAGCTCATAAAAATCCAGCAAGAAACTGGTTTGGCTTGGCTCAGCAGATAGAGCATCTGTCTACAGACTGAAAGGTCCCAGGTTCGATTCTAGTGAAGGGCATGTATGTTGGTTGCGGGCACATCCCCAGCAGGAGGAGTGCAGGAGGCAGCTGGTCAATGTTTCTCTCTCATCAACATTTCTAGCTCTCTATCCTTCTCCCTTCCTCTCTGTGGAAAAATCAATAAAATAAAATAAAAATCCAGCAAGGATAGATGGGCAAGGTTCCCATCTTAGCATACATGAACATGCACAAC